CGAGTCTTGATCTTGCAAACTCAGTCTTGGTCTTGCGCAACAGTCTTGCAGTTACTTAGCTTATTACTACAGAGATATTACTGTAATTTTTTAGATAGGAGAAACCTAACTAGGCCCGAATGAAAAATTAGACGAGTTAAATGCAAAAGTATGTTGGTTATACCGGTTATTAACATATAGTAACTAAGATTGTCAAGTATTAGTTACTATTTTGCCTTAATTTTTATTTAAAAAATCGAGTTTTTTACCAGTTCTGTTCTTTGTCTTGCAACAGTTTGGCGGCCTTGGTCTTGTTCTTGTAAAGTGGAAGACCAAGACCAATTTTGGCAACACTAGCCATAAGTGATGAAATAAGAACTCCAAAACCTAATATTACCGATTAAACCTATCCAATGACCAAATCTATAAACACTAATATTTTTTTTGTGTTAGGCTCAGTACTAATTTAAGGAAAGTACTGTTTCAAGGCCAAAGGTTGTGGAAAGGCCCAGAACCACGCTCAACCGCCAGTCTTTCCCATTTTATTAATTATGTTCATTATGGGTGCCCACTTTGTAGAGGCTGGGTGTGCCCCATGAGGGTTTCCTTATCCTAGGGTAGCACCACGGTCGATGAAACAGAATAAATAATTTTTCTGCCATGAGCCGGGATTCGAACCTGGTGCCTTGATCATTGGAAGTTCAGTGCCCTAACACTGAGCTACCCCGCTCCCTATAAATATTAATAGGACTTCCTTTATGGACATATACCTACATTTAAAAGAGAAAATTTCGATTCACCCTACAGATCTCGACTAGTGTTGCCCGAATGCGAGACCGAGACGAGTCTTGGTCTTGGAAATTCAGTCTTGGTCATGGTCTTGGTCTTGCTCAAGAGTCTCTCAACAGTCTTGCAGTTACTTATTAGTTTATTACTATAGAGATATTACGGTAATTTTTCAGTGGGAGAAATCTAACTAAACCCGAATGAAAAATTAAAAGAGTTAAATGCAAAAGTATATTGGTTATACCAATTATTAACATATAGTAACTAAGATTGTCAAGTATTAGTTACTATCTTGTCTTAATTTTTATTTAAAAAATCGATTTTTTTTTACTAGTCCCGATCTTGTTCTTGCAACATCTAGGCGGCCTTGGTCTTGGTCTTGCAAAGTGAAAGACCAAGACCGATTTTGGGCAACACTAATCTCGACCCTATGCAGTCATCTTACTGCCATGCGTTGCGGCACAGGAACATAAAGTATGAAGAGGGTCACTCAGTTTCATGTTGTAATTCGTAACTGATCTTTTTGTTCTAATTTGACATTGTGCTTCCCTTATTCGGAATTCTTTGAAAGTGAAATCTGTCTATATTAATTGATTATGGCTATTCAGGCCAACAGAAGTATGAGGACATATATTTTTGTGTCGATGCATATATAGCTTATGGTATATATTTTACTGTACTAAAAGGATCAATGCGTTAGAATATATGAACATATGTTGAAACATATGAATGAAAACTAACAAAACGTGTAAAAAATATAAAAGATTTTACAAAAACTTGATACTACAAAAAACTCCATATTGAAGTGAACAGTTTTTTAGACGCGTTTTGCACTTTTTTTTGGGAGAGTGAATTGGAACGAGCTGTCAGATCTCCGATGTGTAACGCTCCTGGAGTCGACTAATTGAAGTGTTTTTTCCATATGGATTAAAATATCTTAAAATCTAAAAATCGGACCTGCATTTGTTAGCAATAGGAATGTTCATCATTCCATCCTCTACGATGAGCTATTATTCAAAATTCTATCTTAAAAGAATCTTCAGTATTTCATTCTCTTTAAAATTAGCTATTATTTATAATTTATATTTTATTATCCCTCAGAGGCGTCTGAAAAGAAGATGGCCTCGAGATCTCCTTTTGTAAATACATTTTTAGAGTGCTACCAATGGGTAGTTTCTCAACATGTGATGTCATGCTATTTTATTCCTTTTTTCACATTTACTGAATGTATTTTTACTTGTAATACAGTTGTAAATATCACCAATAAAAAAAAAAAAAAATATTTTATTATTATTATATCTCGCTTTATTGATGTTTTCACTTTTATCTTGTGGCTAAAAGCACAGACCTTAGTTTATTTTATTTTATTTTACAATACTGCAGTAATTATTATAGCAAACAAAACAATAAACATAAATTCAGAGATTAGCTCTATTGAAAAAAATCATAATATGAAATATATTATTTCCAATTATTTATTAAATTAAGTGTTTCCTACTGAAATAGTTTTTTTTTTTTGTGATTAAGACCAAAATAAAATAACTAGTTACATCTTAAATCGTTGAACTGGTAGATCCAGCTAATTTTTGAACGCCTTTATGATTAATTATATTTTATAATAACATGCATAATAATTGAGTTTTTCTATCAGATATACTTTTAGTGGAATAATTAAAATATTTACTTATTTTTCTCTGTATGAACGTAATTTTATACATTACTATTGTTTATTATAAGCATATTAATTTAAATTTAATACAGAAAATTAAACTTATTTTAAGTATACTCTAGGATTATTAATCGTTCATTGAGGGTAGAACATGTATGAGAAATATAAGAGCGGTTGTGCTGTGCTAGAGAAAAAAAATACGAGTAATTAAAAGTTTATGATTGGCACCGCAGAGGGAGTTATTGTTAATATATGCAGGAGTTTCTACTATTAAAAATAAAATAAAAAATATACATTCATCGCCAATCGTCCTAGGGAGAAATCCAGGTTAATTAATGTAAAAAAAAATTTGCATAAAAAAATATATAAATAAGGGTGGTAGAATAAAAACGCAATTGAACTTAGCCGTTTCGTGAAGCGTTTGCGTTCATAAAAGGTGAGCAATTGTGAAGAAAGTTATTGATTAATGGCTTGGAAAAAATAAATTTCTTACCATATTGGAATGAACAGCAGGTATGTTTTGACATTTCAGTTGTTAATGGATTATTTCGATATCGAGAATGTGTTAATGACAATGGAATCTATTCAGAATATAATAAAATATTAAAGAATATAATTTAGAAAATCATATTGAAGAACATATGTCAGTGGCGAATTCAAGGGGATGGGTTTAGGGGATGAAGTCACCCTAAAATAAAGAAAAAAAAAATTTAATAAATTATTTAATATAATTAAGTTTATTTAAAAAAGACCTCTTTTGATCCCACACATTTTTATTTTATAAATAAAACACCTTTTTAACAATAATTTTTATTATAACGTTTCGGCCGTAAAAGCCGTTCTCAAAAAACATTCTAAAAAACATAAACAACAGTAATCATAAAATATTTGTGGTAGAGCAGTTTAAGCTACATCTTGTTAAGAATCATTTGACTCGTTTTTCGTTTTCATTAACCAGCAGCCTTTTTGTTAATGATTTTAATGAGTTTTTTAGTGATGTTTCAACATCTCTTGGTCCCTCCACTTCGACTAGAGGAGGGACTGAAGAGACTTATGAATTGCTTCATAAGATTCATCTATGGGATTCCCTGACGTTCTGATGTTTCCTGCTGGTATAAAGAGTTGAAGTCGATTTATCCTATTTCCCAACCGCAATTCCTACTTGATGTTTTCCATTTCCAAGTCTTCATAACACAAAACCTCCCCTACATCTTAGAACTCCTTACTTTACGCTTCACTGCCCACTCTCTCAATACCAGATCTCAACCTATAGATTGACTTCCTTCATAAAATAACTTCCTTAAGAAAATTCTTCGTCATTCGTGCTACCACCTTCTGGAACTCCATACGTCAAACCACATCCATAAATTTTCCAAACAACTCCTATTCCATCATCTACTACAAATTCAAACTTCCGCAAGCTTGTAAGAATTTTCAGGTTATATAATTACGCTGATCACCGACAGTTAATTGATAAGAACCACTTTATTTTTATTTTTTCACTTTGTTTTCTATCTCTCAGCATTTTCTGTATTTATTTGTATTTTCCTTCGTATTTTTTGTTTATATTTGTATTTTCCTTAATTATTTTTTTATAAATTTACATTTCCCTTAGTATTTTTGTATCTTACCTACATGCCAGAATAATGTACATATTTTTTAACTCTGCTATTATTCTATTGGGACTTAACTTCCAGAATAAAAATAATTTTTCATTCATTCATTCATCATTTCATATAAAGAAAACACATCATAACACAAGATTAATATTTTTGTATCTCAGCTTTAAGACTGAAGACATTCTATACCAAACTAGACTGCCCAGTGTAATAAAGAATTTTCTAGAATAATAGGATATTTTATATTTGAATTCTTTAAGACAGGAAATACATATTTAGCTAGTTGCTGTCTCTGATATATGATTGGGGATATATCTGTCATATATTTGTTCTTGAAATAGTGTAACTTTCTTTCTGGGTCGATATCGCAATCACCGAATGCTTTTTATTTAAGTGATGTTCAATTCGGTGGGCGGGGTGGCCAAATGGGCTAACGCGTGGTGCACAGCACCACCGTTGCCCGGCAATCTGATAATTGATAATTGATAACTGATAATTGATACAAAAATAGTCATGAGTTCACGTCCCGGTGCCAAAGCGTCTTTTAAATCCCCGCCCACACCCCCTGGCCTGGTAAAATCCCGTATAGCCTTAACGGCGAAGAAGGGGAGGACCAAAAAAAAAAAAAAACACCGGCATCTCCAGAGACAGCCACCAGCCATCTCTCCTTTAACAGCCAAACTCATAGGATTCAACTATGCATTATCCAGTTATTTTGGAAGAGGAGGAATTGATATTACATTATTATTAATGATTCCAAGCCTATAAATAAAATAAACATTTTATCCCACTCTTCTTTTTCTAGAAGGAGTGTAATTCTAGATAGATGGGCCAATTTCATTGTCCTGGCAATGACTATCAGATTTCTATTTAATGAGGGTTTGATGTAACGCTTATGTGTCCCTAGTATGACCTAGTTCCTCTCCCTTACAATCTGTAACTGTATGATGTCTCCATGCTTCTTACCTGTGCTATTAAAAATGACTCAAAAGTAAGTTCTGCCGCTCGGCTTTTTAATCTTTTGCTGTCCGTTTATTTATTAACACCATCCGTTTTCCAGGAATATAACGACCACTTGCCTGTTTGAATGTATTTGAAATATTCATATTTACATTGCTGATTAGTATAATGCTTATCTAAACAATCGACATCTTCTGTATCTTTAGGTAGTTAAAAAAACTATCTCTATTCAATTAACCCATACGATCTTTAGACATAGGAAAAGTCAAACCAATGTTTAAGTATTCATTTTCATTAATATTCAACTTTATTTTGCAGGATGCGCGAAGAGGTGGTGGCACTGCTGATGGTGCTGTCTTATTGCAGCGCTGCGGGGCCGGACCCAGAGTGGGTGGGTTCCATCTACAGCCCCCAGAGATGGGACCCCAACCACCTCCCGGCCGCCAAAGAGATCTCCGGCCAGTGCAGGTCCTCCATGAAGCTCTACATCAACGCGCTTCACAACGGCACGCTCTGGGCTGCCAAAGGTTAGTTTATTTTTTTTTTTATCATTTATTAATTGAACGCATTATTTATTTAAAGTATTCCATGCCTTTTAGTCAATGTGGGTTTTGCAGGACTTGGTTGTTACTCATGAATGCGTATCATCTCACTCCTGCAATAAGACCGATTTATATGTTATGAGCAGCTGTGCACATTGCATAAATATACATATGTTCACATTTTTATCTACTATTCTTCTTAGTTTCGATGACCATCTGCCAGGATTGACTCCTCTTCTTGCGAGGTTAAAATGGCCTGATCTTCTGCTGCCTTTCTCTCCCTCTCTGTACACAAACTGTTATACGGCTTGATTCCTTGTGTAACTAGCTAAGGGACATCGTTCTCTGTGAGGACTTACAGAAAAGTTTCTCTCAGCAATGAGGCCCTTAGTGTTTATCTAGAACTGTTTAATATTTAAATTAAACGATATTAAACTGTTGAGTCTCTAAATAATCATGAGGAGTCGCAATATTCGGTATATCTTTAAACGAATGATAAAAGGCTTTAAGAAAGAATCTTAAAAAAAAAAAAAATAATTGCTAATATATTTATATCTATGATTGAGACAGTCATATTAAAACGTTTGGTTTTTAATATTGATGTCATTCCCACCAATTTTGATGAACTAAGTTCTCATTGGTCCACAAGCGTTGGCACTTCCGAATAAATAAGCGAATACTTAGGAATGAATAAAGGCCACCAACGTTCAGGGGGAAACGCGAAGGTTAAAACATCCTACTTTATATTAACAGTATCTTTTTATTAAAAAATAAAAAAAATAAAAAGGCTTAGCGAACCCGAAGGTTCGATGCCGACACCACCAATCGCTTATTACACACCTCCCTCCACCGTTCGCCGTCCAAACCCAGTCCCTTCAGATCAGCTTTAATGCAATCTTCCCATCTTCGCTTCGGTCTACCCCTCGGACGCTTACCATTCGGCACAGCAAACATTAACCTTTTAGGAATTCTCTTGTTACTAAGTCCAACAACTTTACAAGCCCATTTGATTCGCCGCGATGAAATTATCTCAATTATATTACTCGGAAGTATCTTTTTATTACCTGTAATAAACTATAAACTAGTTGACTCGTTCCAATAATTTAAATATTATATTGATCAGTGAACTTATGACAATATAATATCAAAATAAGTGCAATGTTTGATTTTATCGTTAATAAAAATGGTCATTGATTTTTTAAAAGTTTTAGGTCATTAAAAAACCTTTATACTATTCTCGGTATAATAAATTGTATAATTTTCCAGTTATGGGAAAATAAAATTTTCTTTTTACGTATCAGGGACTTTTTTCCCTGACTTTCTTGTGAGATGTGCTTATTTTCCGCACCTTATAGAGAATGTAATCTTCAAAAATATGGCTTAATAATTGAATTTTATAAAGAATTAACGAAAATATGGATTATAAACAAAAAAAAACTTTGAGAAATTACATTTATATAAAGACAGTGCGATAAAGAATTGGTTCCAATAGAAATTCAGTTCATTTTTTTTTTTTTTTAATTTTTCAATTAGAGTGTTACCATTGGGTAGTTACTCAGCAAGTGTTTTTCATGTCATTATATACATTATGTTCTAATTTACTAGATATATTTATTTAATACAGTTGTAAATGTCTTTAAGAAATAAAAAAAAAAATAATTTTTTTTTCAAATACCAACTATATATAATGAAAACTAGCAACATCTCCAGAAATATTTTAATAGGGAATTATGCAATTATTAACTTAAATTCTCCAACAGACCTCTCCTGAAAAATTCAAATCGAGAATAATAGTCTATGTTACTGACCCCTTTTATCAAATTATTAGCATCCACCTGAAAATTCGTGAATAACTTCATCTCATCGTTACCTACAACTATTTTATTTACGAGAATTCTCGAAATTGGGGCGTTTTCAATCTGCAGATAGGTAAACTTTGTCTATTTAATTAGGTCATAAAAACTCGTAAATACACATTTACTTTCCACTTCAATCGTAAATAATTTGAGCATAAAATCGAGAAAAACCGTTTGGTTACCTATACTCCTAAAATATCGAAATAACGAGGTTACATGGGCCAAATGGCCCAATATTTATGTAGGCAACCTTTTCTTTATCGATTTAGTGATAATATTATCTCACGATCCAAGTGGAAAGCAAATAGGTATTTACGAGTTTTTAGTACCTAATTTAATAAGCAAATTTTGCCGATGTCCAGATTGAAAAAGCCCCCATTCCAAGGATTTTCGTTAATAAAATATTTGTAGGTTTCGATGAGATGAAGCTATTCACAAAATTTCAGACCTACGTTAATAATTTGATAAACAGCATCCGGACTATAAGAATAAAAAATTGTATTATCCGAGTTACCGTGGAGACTTCATGACTGTTCCCGTCCATCTACCTTTTCAATTTATTTTTACTTTGTCGTAGACTAAAATAAATAGCAATATTTTAATCTTTTAAAACCCAAACAAAACGTTTCAAGTATCTAATGGTAACAGTACAACCTAGGAGGACGTCAAAACGCATCATGTTTTATATAGAAAAGGGCACATTTTTGGGATTTCAAACACTGAAGCCTGTAAGTTCCAAACGAACCTATCCAATGTGTCCTCATTTGGAACCACCATTGACTTATGAAAGTCTTTTTTTTTAAGTCTTCCTACTGTTTTCAACCACTTTTATTAAAATTATAGTAGAAATTTAAGGATCGAAATAAAGATTCTTCACTTGTACATCTCTTCCGTTTGATACCTCATTCATCAAAATCCATCGCTCCTTTTAGTCATAAAAATAATCTATATTAATTTATTAGGTATCGTATTGGTTATTATTTTTTACGGTTTATTTTTAAGGAAATGATTACGAAATATTGGGAGTATGACTTTTCATGGGTTTTAGTCGTAAAGGTTTTCTTTTTTTAGTAATTAATTATTATGTTAATATGTACTTGAAATCTCGTGCATGAAACTGGGTAAGATCATTCTGTAGTTTCACTTTTATTGGATCTTGTTTGGCAATGCTGCCCTGATTTGTCTGGTGTTTGGGAAAACCCAGTAAAAATTTTTTTTTTTTAAGGAAAACAGTTAAAAGTTTTGAAACCCTCATAGTCATAGTAATATTTTTTAAAAAAGTAAATAATTACAAACAGTTTTCTTTTAAGTTCGTTTTATATCATAAAAAATTAAAAATAAATAGAGATTGAAATAATTTAAAATTAAGAAATTTACTGATTAAGAAGATCAACTACATAGTTCATATGTGGAGAACCGCCGCCTCGAAGGCCGCATGTGGCCTCTGTGACGTAGTTGCGGCCTCGGAGGACACACGCTTTCTCCAAACGTTTTTGCACGATATTTATTAATCTAGTGGTAGAAGTAATTAATATTTAATTATTTAAGTAACGGCAAATTGGAAATTAATAGAATTATGTTGAATTTATGTATGTGTGTGTGTCTGTGTATATTTAGTGATAAATGAAAATAGAAACAATAAAATATAATGAATTTTTGGGGGCTCCGTTAGCACTGCCTAACCTTATTGTGGCCTCTAATCATAAAAAGGTTTCCAACCTATGTCATAGGTTAATGTTTCTGAGGTTTTTATTTTTTTTTTATTTGTACTAATTGGACATTTTTGGTACTAGCTTGATACTGAAGCTGATGCCTGATGAACGTGTATGTTATCTATCACCGTTAAATTTGATATAAAATAAATATTTAACTAACTATTTGTATTCACTTATGATTTATTTAAAAAAAATTATTCATACTGATTTTAGTTGTTTTTCTACTTTTTTTTTTTACACCAGATTGTCCTTATTTTCAATGGTCACTAGTTATTTAAATTATTTAATTTGTTTCTTTTCTTTGTTATATGTATTTTTTTTTCTTGTGAACTTGACAAGCGTATATTGGAATAATTGTTTGAATTCGGTTTCTGAGTCATTCAAAATTTTTAAATTAATAATAACCGGTAATTTTAAGAACATCTCTATTACTATTAATTCATTTAAGCGTACATTAATTTTTTAAATATTTGTTTTTATATCATCAAAAAGTATATACAAAAATAGAAAAAAAATAATCTGGTATCAAAAATATTATAATTAAACTAAAATCAATTAAGCGTAAGACCTCCTTGTCTTGCCTTGGTTCTTTTATCTATGGAGACTTTCTTAGACTCTTCCTATTGTTTTCCAACTGAGTGAAACGTTGCGAATTACTTCTTCTTTGCTAAATGTCATAGGATAACTTCGATTGCGAGAAAGTTCTCTACTTTTCTCAAATGCGAAAGAAAAAGGTCATTTCTTAGATGCTGTATCTATTGTTTATTCACATTTTTCATATCTTATTCATCCGTGCCAGTATGTGATTTCACCGGAAATAGAAATTTAAATGAGGTTTTATAAACTCAGTCAGGAGTTTATCTATTTTTTTTTTAATATTTAATAATAATTAATTAATAATTACAACATTTTTTTATTTATTTAATGAGATTTGACTGGAATGTATAGCCACGGTTCCTGAGTTTCTTTTATTTTATTCATAAATGTTTTGGGCTTTTAGACCACTTGTGTTATTTTTGCCCTATATTACAATTGATCAACTACTACTTAGGCATAAATAACAAATACAAATACAGTTAACAAATAAAATTTACAGTTTAATTTTCAGAGATTAAAAATAGTTACAGTTGAATATGGTGGTACATTTGAATTGAATGTATAAAAATTAAAAGTTAAAGATTAAAAGAAGATAAATTAACAAAAACCAATTAAAATGACAGTTAGTGATTTCAAGAATAAAAGTTCAAAATACATTTTATAAACTAAAAATTAATATTAAAAGGAGAAAAGTTAAAGAGTACAATTAAAATAATAAAAATTACAAGAAAAAAAACCATTAAAATTAACATTTAAAGATTAAAAGAAGAAAAATTAACAGCTATATTTACAATTTGATAAATAACAAATACAATTTACAGTTTAGGAAGTTAAAAATAGTTACAGTTGAATATAGTGGTACATTTGAATTAAAGATATAAAAATTAAAAGTTAAAGATTAATTGAAGATAAGTTAACAAAAACCAATTAAAATAAAAGTTAGTGATTTCAAGAATAAAAGTTAAAAATACATTTTAAAAACTAAAAATTAATATTAAAACGAGAAAAGTTAAAGAGTACAATTAAAATAATAAAAAATACAAGAAAAAACATTAAAATTAAAAGTTGTTTGTGTTATTTTTTATTTTTAGGTTATTTTATACTTATTTATTGTATATATATTATTATTATTGTACATAGAATGTGAATGAGATCTCTGAACACTATTATAAATGCCCTTTGGGACAGATTGTAATATTATCAATAAACAATAAAAAAAAACTTTAAAAGTTAAAGATTTTTTTTTAGAAATATGTCACGAGGACAATAATTATAGTGATATATGAACACATTTACACCTTATATACAGAAAATATAAAATTAACAAAAGTCAAATAATAACTAAATAATAATCAAAAACTATGTAGAATAAAAAATAAAATAACCTAAAGATAAGTAAATTAAAAACTCAGTCATACCTTTATACAATATATACAATCAGGTAGGGAACCCCAAGCCAGGCTTCTCCCTCCAATTATAGAAGAAAAAACAGGACTCCAAGAGATCCCTGCGCTACTCTCTCCACCGCGTCACTGGTGTATATGAGTATTTCTGTTTACAGAATGGCCAACTCCAATTTCACCATTTTTTATTATTAATTTTAGTGCTATTTCTAGTGGGGAAGTGTGTACGTTTATTTATAGTTCTATATTTCAACACTGCAATCACCTACTCTGGAATCAATTTACTATGATATGTATGTAGAGATATAAATTTTCAAACCAGAAATATCACTAAAATGACTACTCAAACATATTGAAATTAGAATTAGTCATTCTGTCAACTGAAAGGCTCATATTATTGTCTAACTGAGGGGATCCTTTGGGACGAACTAATCACTGATTAATTAAATTGTCACTTTAATAATCGTTTTTAGTCTGTTGGATAGACCGTCTTGATAATATTATATTATATATTCAAACAAACATGTTACGGTGATGTTGCGTCGAATAATTCAGTGCCTATATATATATATATATATATATATATATATATATATATATATATATATATATATATATATATATCACTGATATCAAGGGATTCTTGCTGATAAGCTTAGACACCATAACGTGAAGACAGAGATGAGAAGTCTACAAGGAAACCTGTGGGAGGTTGTCAGCAGCGCACGTTCCTGGAGTCAGGCGTGCTCGGCTTACAACTCCGTGACTGGAGCTACATTTTGCTGGAGCTGGAGGCCAGTGTTCCATTTCCAAGCTTGCACTTACGGCCGAGGCTGACCTAATCCCGGTAATGCACTCTTGAAGGTTGACGACGGATCAGAAGTAAAAACAAGATCTATAGTTTTACTGGCAGATTAAAAGATTAAATAAAGATGAAAATATATAGACATTAAAAATTTAGTAAATTTTTTAGAAAATAAAAACATAGACGTAAGTGTTGAAGATCTATATATATATTTCAAATTAGGGTTAAAAAGGAGGCTATAAGAGAAACTTGTAATTTGTAATAATGCTGGAATTTTAATGCGAAAGTAGTAAAAAAAATAAAAGAACATAATTTATTTAAACGGGCCAAACTCTAGGAGTGAATCGCACACAGAAAAATAATAATAATAAGAAAAGTTCTAATCAAGTCTCGATTTATTTAAATTCTATTGGCTTATTACATATAAAGAGAATTTCACAAATAAACAATATTTCACACATGTATCAGAATTTCGGTTATGCAAGTCTTATTTTGATATAAATAAATACTACCATTGTCTGATGTTGTAAGATGTAAGCAGTAAGATCTAACACGTACAGACTCCAAAATTTAATACGGACAACAAACCTATCTTTACGCATAAAGCTTCTAGTCTATACAAGTATAATACGGCCGGTTCTGTTGTATGGTGCACCTTTGTTTGACCATGTCAGCAAAACAACTGGGAAAAGATTACAATATTTCCAAAATGGAATAATTAGAAAAATTGTAAGAGGAACCACGGTGCAGAGAAATAAGACATTGGATATACAAGCAACACTAAATTTATCAACAATAAATGAATTTCTCGCAAAAGGAAAAAAATCATTTTTCGAAAAGTCCCAACAATTGGCAAACCCTCTTTTGAACAACTTATTACCAGCCAAAAATTCCAAAACGTTGGCAACAACTCACATGAGATAGATGTTTTATTAATTTAGTTGTAAGCTCTAGAGGATAACGTCAATTCAAGCCTGAGGTGAGCCCCATCACCTTTTATAGTACAGATGTAGAAAAAAATACTCAGAAACGACAAAAAAAAAAAAAAAAAAAAGATCAAACAATACACCTTTAAAATGCTTTTAAACAGTAAAAGGACTATTATGAAGACAAAGAAAATCCAAGGATTCAAGACAAAATAAATAAAAAGGGGCTATGGAAAAAAAATTCTAACTAATACGTAAATCCATTTAAATATTAAACCAATACAAATAGTATGCAAAGAGGGTGATCATTTATTAACATAACTATACGAAAGAATAAGATTGTATATATATATATATATATATATATATTATATATATATTATATATATATATTATATATATATATTATATATTGTATATATAGATATTAAATATTAAGCTTGAACTATCTGTTCCTACTGTTATAATATTGTCTCATCCTCTCATTGTATTTAATTGGCAGGTACTCAGTGGTAATTAATTTTTAATTAATTATATTCGGTGATTAAAGTTGTCGGAGAGGGTTGTAAACACGCCTAGCGAGCCAGATCCCATCTTCTGTTTTGCGGTTGTGTTTATTAGAAACTTTTATTGCCACTTAAGCCCAGGGGCCGTAAAACGAAAGGTCCCGGGATCCATGGAGCGCGGCGGAGCTCCAGTTTATTGCGATCCGCTGATGTTAATGCCACCATCATGGCTACTTAACTTCCAGCCAGTTAAAGGTATTGCAGAATCCGGGCGCGTTTTGTGTTTTATAACACTGTATTTTTATGTACCGAAATCTTGTGTTTGGAATGAACAAATGCTAAACATCATAAAACTTGAAAATGGATGTCGTCATATGAGTGACTGGATACGGTTGTGACAATTTTCATTCAATGGTTCTCAATTTTGTTAGAATATCAATTAGATAGAAAAAAGTTTTTTTTTTTGTTTTTTTATAGTAAAGAGTACTATTGACTAAGTAAAAATAATAGAATTTTGTTCTTAAGAACAATGGCTATCTCATTGGATTAAATTAGAAATACCAAAAGTCACAACCGACCCCAGTTTCAAACGTCCAAGTACGGTTGTGACAGTGCTTGGAATAGGGCAGTGACAGTCCAAAAATGCACCAACACAGTCTAAATTCAATTTTATTTTATTTTATAAAATTATAGAACAACTAAAATAATTATAATAATTGTAGTATATAATAATTATAACAATAAATAATTATAGTAAAAAATCCACCCACGTTAGTTTCTCTCTTAGGAAAGCCTCATGTCCACCCATAACGATTACCAATAATCCACTGCCTTCAAAGAACTATGTACGGTACCTTGGACTCTACTTAGACAAAAGACTTACTTGGAACATACATACGGAATTAAAAAGACAAGAACTTACTAGACGATATAGCCAACTTTCACATCTGGACTACAGATCTTCACTTAACTTACGCAACAAGCGACTTATCTACAACACCTTGCTGAGACCAATATGGAAATATGGAGCAGAACTTTGGGGTTCAGCAAAATAAACACACATAAACAAAATACAAACAGCACAATAAAAATTTTTACGAAAAATTGTTAACGCACCTTGGTACATTTCAAACACTACTATACATAACGACTTAAACACCCCAACAGTAAAATCCTACATCCACGACAAATACACTACATTTCATTCTTCAACCCAAAATCACCCCAATCCTCTGGTTCTTTCTATCCCCTGCTCCCTGTTACCTGAGCAACGAAGATTAAGAAGAAAATGGCCAAGAGACCTACTACATCAATAAAAACATCAACATAAAAAAATCAAGCAATTACACCAAGACAATAAAAACACAACAAATTTGCTAGATGCGCAGCTGCGTAGGTGCAAACTGCATAAAATAAAATATAAATATAAAATTATGGTGAGTTCTAAGTGAAACCTCTAGCTGAATACGATCCTGAAGAAGATTTGCAAAGTCGGGTCGAAACGTTGGCTTTTAATATAGTAGTTTTGCCACTATTTAGCCTATTTATGACCGCCACCCCGGACCATCTCCTTCCTTTATAATGCAACGGTCAACTATTAAATATTCAATATAGAACAAGTTAACCGTTTAGAACTAATAAGGCATAAAATTTTGTGTTAGAATCATCTTTCTGTCTTCCTTGAGCGTTTTCTGGGTATGTAAAAGTAATAAAAATTCCTTGTTGTGTCACAATCTTATCCAGAAAATATGTCGCAGGCTTACTCAACGCACTTCTTCACAAAAAAAACAGTGGCTTGGAACATTAAATTAAATTAAATTGTCTACGTTCGTTAATCGCGAGCAAATGTTTAACATATAATGAGGAAAAACATTCATTACTCTATCTGTATATATATATATATATATATATATATATATATATATATATATATATATATATATATTATAATAACAATTATTCATAGAAATAGAATAGTTAGTTTTGTCTATAAAAAAGTAATTAAGACCTCTACTAGCGTTAATGCTGCATTCCAATGCTGTTAAATATTGGGTTTGCAAATAAGTCCTTTCGATTTTTCTGTTTATTTTTATGACACTATGATACTCTTTTTATCTGTTGGATTAATCCTGTGGATTGTTGATTAAGGTGGATTGTATAAACTGTTTGTAATATGTCAACAACTATATCTGTTAACTCTTGTTGATACTAGCTTAGTATTGTGTTTGCTATTCCACTGTGACTATGGAAGAAAATATTCAAATGTGTGTAAGATGTAAGGTATGCGTACTGCAGAAGGTCATAGAAAAATTTGCAGTGTTTATGGCGATGATGCCTTAACTGAACGCACTTGTCAAAATTTGTTTGCCAAATTTCATTCAGGAAATTTTGATATCAAAGATGCTCAACGGTCTGGTCGCCCACATGAAATTGAAACGAGCAATGTTAAGGCCATTGTTGGTCAAAATCCTACCCAATCAGTGCAAGATATTTCTATTCCCCTGTCGTATGTGTCGCACGAAAGCGTAGAAAACCATTTGCTCAAGCTCGGCTATTTTTCCAGACTTAATGTTAATGTTCCAGACTTAATCGCTGACATGATTTTTTTTCGAAAATCACAAAAAAATGTTATAACTTCAATACGACTTTAGCTATCTACAAGCAGGGCCACATAAAGTACACAAAATTAGATTAACAGAGCCTTCGTAAACGTACTACAATTGGAGATAAAAATAAAAACCTCTAAGGAATTTTTTTTTTATTATGCCTTATGTAGGCATTAAATAAAACATTCATACGGCTTTGAAGATCAATAATTAAGCTTTAGAACGGATCTAGTAACATTGAATTTGGAGAATATCCTTAAGAGTTATAAATGATCGAAAGGGTGTTGTGTTCCATCAAGACAATGCTATGCCCCTTTTTTTTTTAAATTTATTTATTGAGTAATATAATGTTCTGTCACTGTTTTTAGGATTAAAAATTACGGTTTTGGATATCAAAACCACTGCCTTGATTTTCACGTTTAACCGTGTTCCTAATTTTGAAATGTTGATCCGGAAACAAATATATACTTCACAGAAATATCATACCTTTTTTATCGTCATAGTTTACTTTTTAGTAATGTTTATTCTAAGAAATCGTTCAGTTTATACAAAAGTTATAGGTAAAAATGTTAATTAACTATAAACAAAATGAAAAATAATATTAACTAATGGGTTATTATTAAAATAATATGATTTATTGAATTTATATTTGTATGAATAACATCGACAGTTACTTTTCAAATCCGTGTTGACATTTCACAAAACAGAATATAAATTATTTGCAGTCTCCTTTTACCCAATAGGTACATTAAGATAATATACATTATTAAAAGGTTAATTAGTTTTAATGATAAAATAGTTATTATAAATAAAAAACTGTATCTGTGGTCTAACGTTTCTTGAAATTGTAATGAATATATTTTGTAATGTATTTGACAAATTGCATACTCGAATCAGGATAAAATAAAAATATTAAGTTTAAAAATGTGTCACATGAAACTTGAAATATACCTTTGGAAATTTTGTTCCACACTTCAAATGGATTTAGGCAAATATTTTCTCTTTGACTTTTTCTACTATTAAAGTGACGTTGCCCCACAAACAAGTTTCTACTTTCATGATTCATTTTATTTTATACTATTCCCACAATTTGTACTGTTTTTTAAGATTTCACATCGTTATGACATTTCTTTAGAATTTTATTTATTAAAATATATTTCATAAAACCGTTGATCATAGTAGTGTTTCTATCCAAACATTATAATGTATTATTAAACAATACGGTGTCCCTCAAAAACGCTAGCAGCATTTGCAATATTGGAATTATATTAATGTTAATACAACTTTAGTTGATCTAACGATAGTTGATCTTAGCAATGCTAAGCAGATTCTTGACTCCCCCAATATTCGCCATGCTCCCTGTTGTTTGCCAAAATCCGGTATAAATGTCTGATTGAATGATTGTGCATTACTATGTTCCTGAGACATGATTGGTGGTATGCTATCGGGTGATTTAAGTAGACCATCCATCGTACCTCAGTCCATGAACATTACTAGTCGCTCCCATACGTCATAATAATTCTACATCAGTAGGTCGGCTCAATATTAGGGAGATGAACAGATAATTCATCTTCGATAAAAGTTAATTGTATAAGGAGAAGGAGATTGAAGATTTTTACTTACAGTGAAAAATTGAGAAAGTAGATTCCCAATGCCAACGTTAAAGTAACAGTATAAAACAGCCTTGAGACGCGTAGAACTTGAATCCAGATGAAACTCTTGCGCTTAAGACCTCATATTAAATACCTGATTTACGATACTGATAATAAAAATGAAGGAACCGTGATTAACCTCCAAAGTTTGAAGGGGACACGCTGTATTCATCAATACAAATTGGTCTTTTGACACTCGAACACCTGACAACTCAATATGCAAGGAGGTGTGCGTTCAACCTTGTTCTTGAAAGCCATACTCTAATAAAGCCATACCAATGGTTATGCTTGGAAATAATATATTTATGTTGTTGTCTTGAACAAACCTAACAATAAGCATTTAGTTATTGTGAGGAATCTGTGTAAATTAATATTTTCTCTCTTTAAAAATATTTACATTATAATATTCCTTCGTATTTCTGAAAACGAATGAAATGGTTACAAATCACAAACTTTTATTTACTTAGTTCCATATCATACTTTATTTATAATATAATGAATGTCTACATTTGTCGTTATTATTTTCTTTATTGAGGGGGGGACGACGACTAGAAACCGTTCGACGTTTCCGATTACTTCAGCACTTACTAGACTAACGCTCTAAACTTCCAATTAATTACAAAAGATTCATGTACATGACTATAATAAGGCCTATTTGGACTTACGGAGTTGAGCTATGGGGCTCCAATAAACCATCGGGTTCCTCTCGTATCCAATCCTTACAATAAAAAATCTTTCGTAAAATCCCTACTTTAATGTTTCTTATGTTTCAGATCTGGCCCAATCCAGATACCTATTCTTCCATAATAAACTTCGGAATCATTCCAACCCTATCGTTTCTAACCTTGCTTCCTCTTCAATTTCTGATAACCCTCCGAGGCTTCTGTAAAGAAGATGGCCCCGTGATCTCCTAATGTAGACATATCATTAGAGTGGCTAGCATTGGGTAGTTACTCAACAAGTGTTTTCACGTCATTATATCCATATGTTCAAATTTACTAAATGTATTTCTTTAATACAGTTGTAAATATCATTAAGAAAAAAAAAAAGAAAAGAGTATGGGTGATTATAATACGAACCAATACATTGAAGCATTTATGCTGTTAATATCAGACTCAGGATAAAATAAACAGACAAGGACTGAAGAGTTATCCCTGTTTTCCAACAGGTTGCTGCTAGATCATTGTTTTCACTTAATTTATGACGATCGCTCGTTGTTGTGGCGTGGGCCCATCCACAAAAAACTTAGGACGATGATGATTTTGGGTTGTTTTCCATTTATTGTTGTCGTTTGATGTATCAAACATTGTCATCACGTTTCCAACATGATCGTTAGTTATTTATTGATAACCACAGTTTAACATTTTAATTTTATTTTCTCATTACACCTTTCCAATAACTGTTGCAAATTTGTAATCTACTGGAAATATGCTTTTCAATTGTAATTAAGTAAGTGTTCTTCACTGTAATCCCAACTGGCTTCCGAATCGTATTATTTACACTCAACTATTTCTTCACCAATTTAAAATATTTCTGTCTTGTCTGATTTATTTGAAACGAAAGGCATGTCAGATTGAAAAATATCGCAGTCCATCAAGACGATGGGATCGGCGTGGTTCGGTTCTCGGAAGACGGATACGGTGGAAGTAGAACCGCGCCTTTGGGAATCGGTTAGCATTAGCGGAGGCTGACCCCAAGCTTACGTAAGGCCGAGTAGAAAGTGACCATCCACCTTCTGGCCAGCGCCCACCGGTCTGCCGAGCTGGCTGCCGTCAGGGAGGTCTAAGGTACTGGGCCAGCCGGCTGTCGTGGAAGTAGTCCGAGGATCTAGAAGTATATCTAACAGCCCTCCCTGGAGCCAGAGCCCAAAAATCGACCTAATCGCAGGGGAAGGTTTGATTGTAAATTACGAATGGGTATGTTATTCAGAGTTAAAAGAACCTTGTCTGCCGCTCCATAGCCGCTGCTTACAAAAATGGCGGCTGATCTAGAGATTATTAGGCCAATAATTTGGAGATCGAAACGGGAAATCCATTGCGAAAAACGTGAGAAACGTTTTCATTTTTTTAACTTGTATATATGGGTTTAGACATGTAAAAAACAAAATTGCTAACGTGGGCCACCAAGGGAAATTTTTTTACAGCCAAAAGACAGAATTTTTCGACATTTTTTTGTTTTTTCACCTATAACTCGTTAACGTTGCATCAAAGCGAAAAATGTATTCTTTAATAAATTAAAGAACGTTAAATTTGGCGTCAAACGAGAACATAAAGTTTATAATTTGGTTACGCAGTAAAGTATAAAACTAAGGTCACCAGCGCTGATTTTTACCAAATCTGTCAAAAACAGAGACAAATTACTACAAATGGTCCTGTAACTTGGTAATGAGTTCCCTTAGAGGAAAAACCCACAGAATCAAAGTTGTAGAGCATCAAATTTTTGCGTAAACGGAGTACCAATTAATTTAATGTAGGTCACTTACTGCTAACAAAATCCGTAATCTCCTGATGGTTACAAATTAGTACTGAAGGTAAACGTGATTTTCAATATTTCAAAGGTATAGGTGTCTATTCTATTGAGGTATTTTTGTTAAGAGTCTGTTACATGCAGTATAAGTCTCTTTTCCACCTCGCAACAGCAAAGGATTATGGTAAACGATGTGTCGAAAAACACCAAATTTCAGAAAGAAATACCGAATCTCCATTCGAGATATATAGTTGGCCTGCAATACAAATATCAGTACTCAATAAAATTTGATGCTCTGCAACTTTGATTCTGTTGGTTTTTCCTCTAAGGGAACTCATTTCCAAGTTACAGGGCCATTTATAGTAATTTGTCTCTGTTTTTGACAAATTTGGTAAAAATCAGCGTTGGTTGACAGTGGTTTTATACCTTGCCCCACAACCAAATCATAAAGTTTATGTACTCGTTTGACACAAAATTTAATGTTCTTTGATTTATTAAAGATTAAATTTTTCGCTTTGATACATTGTTTAGGAGTTATAGATTTATAGATAGATTTATTGGAGTTATAGATAATAAAAAAAATATCTGACTTTTTGGGCTGTTAAAAGTTTTCCTTTGTGGCCCGAGTTAGCAATTTGGTTTTTCACATGTCTAAACCTATATATATACAAGTATTTATTTATTTGGTAGTTCATACATAGTTAATATATTTTTCGAAGTAACAAAACTCCAGACCTTTCTCAATTTCCAATTCAATTTGGTGCTACCTTCACCATCGT